ATTCAGGTTGACGATCTCCGAGAGGCACTTGAGTGTGACGTTACGGAAATCGGGCACCTCGAGGAACCGCGTAATGAGGCTGTCGACGACGTTCGTTTCAAAAATAAAGCCCAGAGGGATCCAGTTGAGGAAGCGGAGCATGGTCTCGAGGGTCGCCTTGATCAGCGATGGCTTGTTGGCCTTTTCGAGCACTTCGGTGCACAGCTGGAACACCTCGCCGAATTCGCCACAGAACTGGTTCTTGAGGTTGCGCGCCTTGGCCTGGGTCATTTGTTCGGCGGAGAAGTCGAACACTTCTTCGGACAGGAGGCGCAAGATGGCCATGTTGTTTTCGCAGATCGCGAGGGAGCCGCGCGACGACGACACGATCTCGGGGATAAAGTTGGGCCAGTTGTGGGGCCACTCCTGCTTGAGGATCTGGATGAGCGTCGTGTCGAGCTTGCCAAGCAGGGTGCGCTCGCTGCGCAGGTTGTTCTCTTCCGAGGACATGACCACGATCAGCTCGACGATAAAGTTGCGGATGCCCTGCTGCTGGTCGACGGGCAGCACCTTCCAGCGCGTCGCGATGAGCTTGTCGAGGATCTGGAGAGCGATATACTTGGTTTGTGAGTTCGTGCTCTGCTGCATAATCACAGGCACGCGCTGCCATGCATCGGGATGCTCCTGGAACTGCGCCAGCACTTGCTGCGCCATGCGCTGATCGGCACCCGCACCCGTATACATGGCCGCCACGATGTTGTCCAGCAGGACAAGATCTAAATCCTGGCTAAAGTCCAGAATGGACTGGCGTGTGAGCCGTGTGTGTGTGTACGTACCTCCATCGACGCCATGGCTCGAACCGACTCGCTGCGACAGAAAGGGCCTCGGTTCGGCGAAAAGGTACAGAGCAACGTTTGCGTCGCTGACACACTCGGACACGTCGCGCTGGCCGCTGGGCTAGAGGGCCACGCCGCCGGCGCGTGGGCCGTCACGTGTCGAAGAAGGTGTGTATCCTCATCGCCCGCACGTGCGCACAGCCGGCGTGGGTGGGGGCGGTCCTGGGCACGAGCGAGCGGCGGGCGCGGCGGAGGCCTCTTCCGCACCGCTGCGGTCTGCGCTGGCTGAGAGCGACGCGACGCGAACGACACCGCGTCGTAGGCACGAAACACACCGACCTGCGCTGCGCTCTGTCTGGATATGAAGGTGCGTGCACGGCACTAACCGAGCTAGTTTGGCAAGCAGATTTTGAGCCAGCAAATCTCTGGATGGGGCTCGTACTATCTGGACTACAAGTTCCTGAAGAAGATCATCAACTCGCTGGAAAAGGGCCGGATCGCGGATGCCGCCCTCTTCGCGACGAGTGTGCGTCCCGAGGAGACGTCCGACGGGCCACAGCCGCTGCTCCCGATCGACTCACCTGGCTCTGAGCTGCAGGTGCACAAGGCCGCGTTCTTCTTCCGCCTAGAGCGCGAGCTCGAGAAGATCAATGCGTTTTATCTGCAGAAAGAGTCGGAGCTGCGCACGCGTCTCACGACCCTGATCACCAAGAAGCGGCACCTCATCGCGCTGGCGAAACGCCCCGTCGGCCACAATGTGATCACGCGCGACACGCCGTCGCTCGTCACGCTGCTCGAGGGCTTCCGCTACTTTGAAAAGGATCTGTCTAAGCTGCAGCAGTTTATCGAGATCAACGCGACAGGCTTCCGCAAGATCCTCAAAAAGTGGGACAAGCGGTTCAAGTCGCAGACGAAGGAGCTCTATCTGGCCCGCCAGGTCGAGGTGCAGCCCTGCTTCAACCGCGAATTCATGACCGAGATGAGCGATATCGCATCGGCTAGCATCCTCCAGCTCGAGAGCCTCGCTGATGGCCACGAGCTTCCCAGCACCCAGTTCAAGAACGAGCTGGCCCTGCTTCGTGGCGCGGCGCCTCTCACAGGCCCCGTGCTCGTGTCCGACGACGACCCCGTCGACGACCTCGAGTTTGCGTCGGAGCGCCCGCTGGATTTCGACTCAGCCGACAAGCACAACAACGCGATCGTCGAGCTGGAAGGACAGCTCACGCAGGCCGTGCACGAGTCGCGCGTCGACGATGCGAAGCAGCTGATCGAACAGATTCAGCAGCAGACGAGCGGCGGCGGCGACCTCGACCCACCCATCCATGCGGGCATGGCGCACCAGGTTTGGCGTGCCCTCGTCACGTCGACGCCGGACGCGATGGACGCCGCGATTCAGGGCCACCTGCCCAACTATGCGTTTGTCGACGACATCAACGCCCGCACGGCCCTGCACATCAGCGCCCATGCCGGCAAGCTGCCGCTGTGCCGCGCATGCGTAGAACACGGCGTCGATCCACGCGCCAGCGACGTATATGGCCGCGAGGCGCTCGCGTACGCTGCGATCGGCGGATTCGAGGATGTGTGTACGTACCTCCTGTCGCTCCCGCAGCTGCGCTCACCGGACGACTGCGTTGTGCACCAGGTCGACCTCGATGGCTTTTCGCCCCTCGTGCACGCGATCGTGCGTGGACGCACCGGCGTCGTCCGGATCCTCCTCGACCACGTCACGTCCATCGGCGCGCCGGCGCAAACCAAGTCGGAGCACAGCGACCTGTCACCTATGGCCATCGCCGCGCAGTGTGGCCTCGTCGACATTACGCGCCTGCTGCTCGAGCATGGTGCCGAGGTCGGGACGAACACCGAAGGACTCCTGCCACAGACACTCGCAGCGCGCGCCGGACACACCGAGTGCCTGCGCCTCCTCATCGATGCGCAGGTGGATGTGAACGCCGTCGAGAAAGGCACACAATGTACGCCACTGTTCTATGCAGCCGAGTTCGGGCACGCGGCCTGTGTCGAGATGCTGCTGCGGTCCGGCGCCTCGATCGAGCAAGTCGACGAGAAGGGCCGACACGCGCTGTTTTATGCGGCGTGGCATGGCTGGCGCGAGTGTACGCGCATGCTGCTCGAGGCGCACGCCAAGGCGCCCAAGACGACACAGCCAGCGCCGCCGGCGCCGGCGGCCGAGACGGCCGACATGGACCTCGAAGGCGACGGCATTCCGTCCCTGCACCTGCCTCCGCCCATCATTCCCTTCCGCACGTACGGGCACAACTACCTCGACAAGCGCTCGCTGCTGTGCCTGAGCCTCTCGAACCAGTCGATCGAGCTGCACCGCCAGTCGCTCAGCGACCGGCCTGACATATTCCCCGGCCTTACCTCGTCGTTCAAGCTCGTGCTCACGCCGCGCAACACGAGTGCAGGCGAGCAGGCTGGCATCCCACACACCATGATATTCCCGATCGCCGAGGAGCGCGAGGAAGTGTCGTTCCAGGTCGCCGACATGGAACACTTTTACCTCGAGTGCGAGATGTACCCCACCTTTGGCTCAGCCCGCATCGCCAAGACCGTGCTCTTGCCGCAGGTGCTCCAGGGCCTGCAGAACCGCACCCACATGCCACTGCCGCTCTTTGACTGGCACATGAATCTCATGGGACACATGAACATCGTCCTTGAATGCGTGCGGCCATACGGCAGCGTCCAGCTCCAGATCGGAGGGCACGTCGAGACGTACTGGAAGAGCACGCTCCCGAGCCAAAACCAGCCACTGACCATCTCGCCCTTGCCGCATCCCAACACCCACGATGGACAGGACACGGCGCTGTACGTCACGGCCTCGTCCCTCTCGGGCGACTATCTCCACGTCTCGGTCCAGTTCACCCAGGACCTCGTGCCCGTCGTGTGCGCCCTCGACCGCCTGCCCGTCGATGTATGGGCACCGACCGTGGCTCAGGTCACCGCCGCAGAATTCGACCACATCGCCCAGCGCACCGGCCATGCATGGCAGGTGTCCGGCGACGATGCCGGCCTGGCCATGCCGGCGTGGAGCCAGCGACTCGCGACGGCGCTCGTATCCCTCGAGACGCTTCTCAAGACCCTACCGCAGCACGTCGGCGTGGCACTCGACATCCGACTCGACGCTGCCGCTGCTCAGCCTCTGAATGCTTGCATCGATGCTACCCTCCAAGTGGTGTATGACGTCGCACACCGCGACAAGAATCGTCGCCGCCTGTTTTTCAGCAGCACGGTGCCCAGCGCGTGTGTCGCCCTCAACTGGAAGCAGCCCAATTACGCCGTATTTTTCATGAACAATGCCACGCTCCACAGCGATGCCGCCGTACCCACGTTACCAAAGGACGCAGATCCACGTCAATCGAGTATCGCCGAGGCTGTGCGCTTCGCCAAAGGCAACAACCTGCTGGGCCTCATGCTCGATACCTCGATCCTCGAATTGGTGCCCGAGCTGCTCACAGCAGTCAAGGCAGCTGGCCTCGTGCTCATCACACGGAGCCGTCCTACGATGCTCTCCAGCACATCTACTTTTGCCGAGCCCAGCCTCCTGGGACCGCCAGCCATCGCATGCCCCGACGCCATTGACGGCTTCTTCGAAGACCATGTCATCAAGTGCACCAAATAAGTTTTTTCTGTTCAATACATAGCAACTATAATGATGGACTCGTTACACAAACATGGGGTATGTGGGTAGGACAAATTACCACGCAGCCTGACGGCGCTTCTTACCGCTGCCGTGCCGCGCTCCCTTTTTGCGCATCTTGCGGCGCCAGCGGTCCTTGCTCGAGTCATGCGGGTGTGACGTGCTGATCTTGGCCGGCGCCTCGACTTGCATGTCTGCATCCTTGTCGTTGTCATTCGCGTCATCCATCCTCTCCTCATCGTCCTTGTTTGTCTCAGAAAGCTTAGGGGCTTGCAGTCGCTGCTTCAAGCGGTCTGAGACTTGCTGTAGACGTGCAGCTGCTGTTACAGCATAGTCAGTTCCCTCTGTGTACCGCTTGGCATTTCTCGCCGCCAGCTTGGAATGCGATCGTAACGACTTGGCCATAGTAACAAAGAGGTCGAGAAACGTCAAGATTTTTTTTGGACACGAGGGCGTTCTTGCCTAAGCCATGTGGTATATATACGATGGTTTCGCCCGTCTGAGCAAGTCTGTCGCCTTGTGCAGCGGTCACGGCGTTAGTTAAGGGGTATAACGGCTGCCTTCCATGGGAACAGCAGCAGTGGGGGGTTCGAGTCCCTCACGCCGTATTTTTTTTCTGACCCGGCCCCGAATAGGCTTCGAAATGATTGGACATGACGCAATGTAAGAGGAGAGGTGGAACGCTTGGTTGGGCCTGTGCGAGGGGACACTTGGGCCTCTCCCCACGCAAGTGCTTTTCCTTCCCGGCGAGCACATATACCCTGCCTTGTGATGGCATCCCATGCGGATGCCTCGTTATATGATCAACCGGCCAGCTATGTGAAGAAGCAACAGTACACATTCGGAAAAACGATAGGCAAGGGAACGTATGGTGTCGTTCGCTCCGCTGTACGGACGCTACCTGACCACACCACACAGCCTGTGGCTGTCAAAATCATCAAAAAGGACCTGCTAAAACGGCAGGAGCATCTTATTATGCAGGAAATTGAGATGGTACGCAGCCTGAATCATCCCCATATCATCAAGCTAATCGACTGGTTCGAGTCCAAGGACAAGTTTTACCTCGTGTTTGAGGAAGCGCATGGTGGCGAACTCTTTTATCGGCTCATGCAGGGTCGATTCACAGAGCGCGCTGCGTGTCGCATCATTTACGTCGTACTCGAGGCCATCGTGTACATGCATCGAAATGGTATTGTGCATCGAGACATTAAGCCGGAAAATATCTTGTATCGCTCGGAGGCACAAGATGCCGATATTGTGTTGGTGGATTTTGGGATCGCGACACATTTGTACGAGCACACCGATACAGAGCTGCATGGCATGTGCGGAAGCGTCGGCTATGCGGCGCCTGAAGTCATGGCCCGAAAAGGTTACGGCAAGCCCGTCGACATGTGGGGCCTCGGCATCGTCACTTACTGCATGCTATGTGGGTTTGCCCCTTTTTCCTCGGTGGATCCCAAGTTGTTTCTCGAGCAAGTCGAGTCGGCGACCATCTCATTCGAGGGCAAGTATTGGGATTCGGTCAGTGCCGAGGGTATCGACTTTGTCCAGCAGTGTCTAAACCGTGACCCCGAGCAGCGCATCACCTCAGAAGATGCTTTGCATCATGCATGGTTCCGACTCATATCGGATGAGACGCATGAGAGTGACGACGATGGGAATGACATTAGCACAGGTGTACGAGAGAACTACCGCTCGAAATGGAAGTCCGCTATGGCAGCAGTACGTGCCACCAAGCGGATCCAAGCCCTCAGCCACACACATGCCGAGCCTTTGCACGAGAATCCTTGCCCCTCATCGCCACTCTGTTCGGATGAAGATGATGACCCCGACAACCATTCCTTTGGCACCCCTCAGCGCGCAACGTCCAGCAGCTGGCTTGAATGGCTGCGCTCCTACCTTCCCGTATATAATTATTCAGAGTAGCTCGTCTACATATGATCATGAGGATCCTCTCTCGGCGGCTCAGGCGGGATGGTGATGGCATCATCGATACGCAACAAGCTAGTAGCTGCCTCGACGGCACTCTTGAGGCTACGCAACTTGCTCATTGTCGGCTCAAACACACCCGCACGCAAATTGTCGCGCACCGTGCCATTCAGAAGGTCCAGACCAAAGAAACGCAGCGTCTTTTTTGGGTCCGTTGCACCGGCATTTTGCGCGGCCGTATGGTACGCGCGCAGCGTCGCAACGAGGTCCGTGCTGTCCTTAGCCGCATTCACAGCGAGAGTCTTGGGAATAACAAGTAGTGCTTGCGCAAACTCGGCAATGGCCAGCTGTTCGCGCGACCCGAGCGTTGTCGCAAAATTTTCAAGATAGATGTCGAGGGCCGTCTCTACGGCGCCACCACCCGGCACAACGGAGCCACTCTCCAGCGTGCGCTTCACGACGGACAAACTGTCGTGCAAGGCACGTTCCATCTCGTCGAGCATGTACTCGTTTGCACCACGCAACACAATCGAACTTGCACTGTGCACCTTGGAGCCCCGCACAAGAATGAGCTCATTGTCACCGACGCGCTCCTGCGACACCTCATCGGCATGACCAAGTGCACTTGCATCGAAGGATTCTTCGCCATCAAGGTTCGCAAGACTGCTCACAAACTGACCTCCCGTCGCCTTGGCGATGCGCCGCAAGTCTTCCTTCTTGCAGCGACGCACAGCCATCGCACCAGCCTGCACAAACTCTTTCAGACACAGATCATCGATGCCCTTGGTCGTCAGGATGACATTCGCACCCGTCGCGAGAATCTTGCGCACCCTCTCCAGCACCATTTCGCTCTCACGCGCCCGAATGCTTTCAAGCTGATCAGGGTCATCAATGGTGATGTGCACGCCCATATGCATCCGCTGCTTCACAAGGTTGACATCAATGCATGCAATTTTAGCGCCTGTGATGCGTGTTTTCATCGCCTGCGATGCCACTGTGCAATTGAGCGCATAGCCATTCACAAACATCGACTCGCGCGCGGACTTGCCATGTGCCTTGAGCACATTCACGGCCTTGACAGGGTACTTGGTCTCACCACGACCGTTCACCGTCTTGACTGACAGCATGGCATCCACCGCCATCTGTGCGAAAAAGTCATCATCTGCGCCAATGATCTTGCTCGCCATACTCGTTTTGGCAACGTTGATCAGGCACTCCTGCGCGCGCGCATCAATCTTGACAGCCAGCACATCCTGAATGTACTTGATGGCTTCACGACAGGCAAGGCGGTATCCTGTAATAATGGTCGTTGGATGAATCTTGTTTTTCACGAGTTCATTCGCGCGACGAAGCAATTCAGCGGCGAGGATCACAACCGACGTCGTGCCATCGCCCACCTCCTTGTCCTGCTGCTGCGCAAGCTCAACAAGAATACGACCAGCAGGATGATCCACTTCTAGCAGCTGCAGAATAGTTGCACCGTCGTTCGATATCAATACGTCACCAATATCGTCAACCAGCATTTTGTCCAGGCCCACAGGACCCAGCGACGACTTGACAACATTGGCTATCGACTGCACGGCCAGTACATTTTGATCACGAATATCGGAGCCAGAGAGGCGCTGTCCGCCGATGAAAAGACCCGCATTGCGCGGATCTTTTTGGAAGATTTGCGCCATACCCAACGGTCAAAGGATCGGCCTCGTTCGACGATCCAACGCGTCATTGCCTCTGCCCTCCTGCCGGCCGAGCTTAGGTAAGCTTTGTACAAGACCCACTATGACCCATGCTAACGACGCCGCTTGGACGGTGCCTGGCGGCGGCGAACAGGCGCATCGTACTCGACCTCGCCCAGCGGAATAGGCTCGAGGTCACTATCTTCTTGGTCCGACTCGGGCGCATCCTCTTCTTCTTCGTCGCCCTCATCAAAGAGTTCTTCATCGCTGCCCAGAATGTCCTGCGCGATAGCAGTGTCATTGGCTGGTGCACCAGCAGCGGCGTCTTCGTACTCAAAGTCATCTTGATCGTCTGCTTCTTCCTCTTCTTCAGGTTCATTTTCTGCGGGGTTTGGCTCCCTCTTTTCCGTCTTGGCCTGCTTCTTGCGCTCGACATTGCGTTCCTGCTCCGCACGGCGCTCCGCAGCAAGCTGTCGTTTAGCAGTGATGTCGCGCGTCTGCTTCGCAACGTCTGACGCACTCATATGCACATAGTCATGGTACAGTACCGAACTGCCGTTCAGGCCCTCCTCCACCTTGACGAGGCGCAGCTCCATACGAGGTCCAATTTCACGCAGACGGACAGCACGTTGCGCATTAGCCGCATTGCCGCGGCCCACATAGTTCTGCGAGAGTTGCACAGCATTTTGTGGATCGGCCATATCCTCGGCTTCCGACTCTGCCTCGCTTGTATCGGTATCTTCGCCACCCGCCGCCTGACTTCCACGAATGACGTACTCGGCAATGTCTGTCGCATTACCGAGGTTGACCAACGCTCGACCGTGCCGTTTATGTTCACTTCCATGTCCCGTAACACTGCCCGACGACGCAGAGGATGGGCGCGTGCTTCCCTCAATCACGCGGCGGACCGAACGGGACACGCCTACGGGGCGAACAGAAATCAGGTAATGGCGCCAGTCGATGGTCTTGGTATCAGCGTTGTAGTTCAGGAGCACGACACGTCGCACCTGTGATAAGCGCATGGAATGCACATGGAGCGGCGGAAACATGTTTTGAAAAACGGACACGAGCAACTTGAGGTGTCGTTCCTCTCCACCAAAGTTGTTCAGCACCAGCAAGGGTGGCGTCGTGAATTCTGTGCCTGGCGCTATGGGCCGCCTCGAACTGTGCATCACATCACTCGCCAGTGAGTATTTATTGACGCGGAAAGTAACAGTCGGTCCTCGTGGGCATCGCAAGACTCGCATATTGATGCCTGCATCGCTTTGGTTAAATATGAGCATGTGAGATACACCCAGCGGTCCGGCCATCGTCAGATAGTCACGCAGCTTGTTTTTCTCGCGCTCCTGAAGACGCGTTGCCGTATTTGGCTCCATAATCCGTCGCACATCGCGAACGAGCGTTGTCACACTCTTACCCACACGGCCTCCACGAATCACAAAGCTCTTGGGCGCTCGCGAATCAGTCTGAGAATTGCTGATCGGCTGGTCGTAAGTGATTCATTGTACATACGCCTTTCAGATGAGTTCTTGTCTTTCTTCTCTGTCGGTCAGCTGCGCAGCGTTCGTGTGACGCACCTTCTTGCCCACCATCGTGGCCCAGGTTCTGGAGCTAGCGGCGGAGGCCCTGAAAAAAAGTGGCCCTGGTCTGTTTATCACGTGATCATACGCGTCGTGCGTGCCGCTTGTGTTGTGCCAGAGGGGTCTGAGCGTGTTACGAGTCCCACGATGGACAGCCGGCCCGAGGTGCTGCGTAGCACACAGACGCCGCTGAAAAGGGGCACTGATCAAAAGACGCCGCTCCGTACGCCACTGCGTACACCACTCAGTGCTGTGTCGGAGCAGACGTCGTCGACGCCCATCACGCCGTTTGAAGCGATTGAATCACAGAAGGAGAATGTACAGCCTCGATCGCGTGGGCGCAGCGCACACGCGCTCAGCCACACGTTGAGTATGCACCATAAGGAGAGGCAAGAAGTGCTTGCGACGCAGCGTCAAGAATGG